GTGGCAGGAGCAGCAGCTGTGGGACCAGGCACTTGATGACTCATGGAACCCAGGAGCCGGCACATTTGTCCAAAGCAGGCAGAGCAGCTTGCACAGCTGTAAGGTGTTGCAACAGGTCCCCAGACTCAGTGGCGAGAGAAGGGTACTGAGGCCGGGAGCAGCCACTGCTGGGATGATGGGATGGTCCGACAGCCTGGCGAAGGCAGGCGGCACCAGGGATGTCTTCATTTCTGTTTCATGGGAACCAGCTTTTTGCTGATTCTTAGGGAAATTATTCACTTCTTCCCAGGAATGCAGGGTTGATTGCAATCCCTGCAGTTCATCACGTCATGAAATCCTAAATAAATGCCAAGCACTGTGTGGCAAGATGCAGCATCCCCCTCCCCCTCCAGGGAGTGATAAGGAAAAGGGATTGCTGTTCTCAGATTATGGGGATGGCACCTGCCATGCGGCAGATGCAAGTGGAAAGTTTTTGAGTCCTGGTGCTGCACTGGTTTACCTCTTGGGCTTCTAATCACACGGTCAGCAGTTCAAGATCACCCGCGGACCCCAGGGAGAAAGATGAAGCTTTCTTTTTGTTGCTGTGTAAGAATGAGATATTAAGAAGTAGTTATATATCAAGAAAGTATCCCAGCTCTGTCCAACTCGCGTCCATAAGTCCTTCTTCAGACTCACGCAGCCACATGCAATGATGTGGAATGCAGGAAGATGACAGGCTGGTGGGGGGGTGTTACAAAGTCTTGTGGATCCAATGGCGGTGGACCCATCTCCAGGGTTCTGGCAGGTCCCAGAGTCGAAAGATGAGGCTTTCTATTTCCATACAGAGCTATAGTCTCAGAAATCCACAGGGGAAGTTCTACCATGTCCTACAGAGCTGTTTGGAGCCCAAATGGACGTGGTGGAGGGCATGACTGGTCTACGATAGGCTGTGAGTCTTCACGGGACAAGATGGCGTCTCTCACCTGTGTGGCAGCTGGTGAGCCCCAACTACAGACCCTACAGTTAGCAGCCCACCCTACAGCCCAGTGCCCTCAGGGCTCTCTCGATATCACACCCTCACAAAACCAACGCTGGGCCATCAAGTCGATGCTGACTCACAGTGGTCCGCAGGACAGGGTGGCACTGGCACTGTGGTGTACCCAACCCTTCACAGGAGTAGAACGTCTCACCTGTCTCCCACAGATCACCAAGGATGACTAAGAAGACGGTTCAGTTCATCAGCTCCACTGTCAACAAATTTCCTGGTGTCCTCCCTCCTCTTCCTGATTCACAGGTTCTTAACTCCTCTGCACTCCGCAGTTGTGAAACGAAGGAGGCGACCGTTGCACAACCCTTCAAAATCAAACCGAAGTCCAGCTCGTGACCAAGACAAGACTAAGGAAATCAATGGTAGACCAGTTCGGGTGGAGGAACCAGTCTCTCAGAATTCAAAGAAATGAGTCAGACAGAGTGTAATGTGGTCACCTCCATGGGGCCAGGATCGAGAGAGAGCACTAATGTATACAACAGTGGGGATACATTGTCTCAAACATCTAGACCTCAGTAATTACATATGTAACAAGGTGGGCAGTTATCGGGTACGGGTCCCCAACAGTTGAACAGGTGCTCAGCAGCAACGTTGCAATTGTGGACAAGAATATAGAAGACAGTGGGCAGAGGGGCTCCTTGTCCCTGTCAGGACCAAGAGCGCGAACGTATTTTCCACCGGGCGTGCGTATATAATCGGGCTTATAGACCTTTCCAAAGGCATGCGGGTCCCACAGTGAACAGATCACGTAGGCGATGAGTAACGTCCTGTCCCAGGTTAAAGGTTCAGGGTACAGAACAGATCATCTGAGTCAGCCTCGCCAGCTGGGCTAACACTCCTCGAAGGCATTGTCTTGCTAGGAAGACCGACTTCCTGCAGGCATCATGGCCCCTCCCCTAGATGTTAATGTGGCTTAGAGGACCCATCCGGCGGAGTCCCACTGACCCCTTGCAAGCAGCATAGTCACTGCTCGCTTGTAGTGAGATACTGCTACACAGAACGGTCAGGACAGACCGGAATGTCCTTCTGGTTTCAATCTGGACGTGGTAGCGGATGGCCTAACGTGGACCAGAGAGGGCTGCGAGTCTGCTCAGAAGTTCAGTGTCATGTTCAATGGCCCTGAGAGCACAGGACTTTCAGAAGGCCTGTGCGCCAGACAAGGAGCTTCAATTGACACTTTGGTGTCAGACTGCCCACCAGCCCCTCCTCACGAGAAAGGTGAGGCTATTTCAGTGCACTGTTAGGCAATGGATGAGAGAGAGGAATTGGCCTTTGTCTATGGGAGGAGGCGGCCAGGGCCGACTGCGAATTCAGACCAATGGGAGATCCTAGGAGGCCGGAAGCTTTCCTGAGTGCCGCCCTCCGGATTCCCAAGTAAAATTATTCCAAGCCCAAACCAAACTCATTGTCCTGAGTCGATGCTGACGGAGCGACCCTCCAGGACAGGGTAGAACTGCCCCTGTGGGTTTTGGAGAGAGCGGGCAGGGCTTCCTCCCACAGAGCGAGTGGTTGGTGATTTCGATCTGCACCCCTAAGGGTCACAGCTCAACACGTAACCACTCTGGAGGAGGCTAATGAGTTAGCTTGGCTGTTAATCAGAAGCGGAAAATGTGACACCATTTGGGATCTAGCATGTTCAGAATTTGCTAAACCTAAAACTGAAAGTGAAACAGACCCCCCCACCCCTACCCTGCCCACAAAGAGTTTTGCAGTAAATTCCTTTTAAATTTAATCAACAAAAACAACCCCCCCTAGAGTTAATTAGCAAATTTGGACAAAGAACCGTCTGTGCAGCAAGGGGTATTGCCTGAGATAGGGCGAGGAACAGGCCCAGGGCTGTCTCCTATTCCCTGAGAGCCATGCCGCCATGAAGACTTTGTCCTTTGTCACAAACCCATTCAACATCCCTTCAGACTGGACAGTATAGTGCATCTCACTTGTTTTCCAGAGTCTGGGGAGCAGGGTTAGAGGTGGCAAACTCCAGTGTTCTCCTGCCCAGGGCTTCCAAAAACAGAATGTGTCCGATCAGTCTTTGGCTGACAGTGACGGGCATCTGGGCCTTACCCATTGGCAGTCAGAGATCCTGGTTCCATGCCAACAGTCTCTTACCACGCTTGTTAAGTTTGGATGGGGGTCTCCCCTTGCTTACAAATTCTTTTGTATCTTATCTTTATAGTATTGGTTTATCCTTTCAGTGATACTCTGATTGTGCTTTGTGGCTGTTTGTTGGGTTTGTTTGTGAAGCCCGAAGGAGTGCGTGCCGCTGATGACTGGTGCAGGGTTTCGGAAGGACTCAGGCATGGGTGTGACAGGGAGGGTAGGGGGGTTTCAGGAGTCAACCCTGAAGGCTGGAGGGGTGGGGGCAGCACTAGAACCGATTGTGATTACACAACTCATTTTAAGGGCAATTTAATCATGGGGGTGGAGCAGTGTTCCACATTCATTGTGGCAATAACTAGATAACTCTTCAGGACATGATTGAACGACTGAATTGTATGATATGTGGACCAGGTGCCTATAAAATGGTCAGAAAACACAAACGAACAAAACAAAGTATTGGAAGGACACCAGCTTTTGTTCCACACTGGTATCACCAGGAACGGGAGGAAGGAAAAGGCGCAGAGGAAGATCACATGCTTGCTGCCGAGGGAAAGAGACCAGTCTGCACACAGGGCTGGCTGTGGGCCTGCAACTCCACCCACGGGAAAAGCCCTTCTCTGGAGGCCGCCGTGACCCCTGGTGGCCGAGGCAGGAGCCTGTCCCTGCCCTGCCCTACGGAGGGTGCCCCGGTGAGAGGACGCTTCTCTTACAGAGGCTGGCACTGGCAGAGACGAGGCACCCATGGTGGCTTGTGAACTGTAGCCTGTGGATCACCGAGCTGTGCCGCTTAGTTACCGACAGGGGCGTCAGCGGTGGAGCTCCAGCTTTGCTGCACCGTGTTTCTGTCAACCCAGATGTTCCTGAGGACGGGAGTTCTGTGAAACAGAAGTATGGCGACTGAGACTTTTCTGGGGTCTGGGAGTGGGCGGTCTTTACAGCTGGGCACGGGACATGTTCTCTCTCATCAAGCCGCCGCTATTCCTTCGGTTGGTGGGACTGCCCAGCATCACTGGGGGGTCCCTCCGGCAGGGCTGGCCTGCATTCGGGGTCGGTAGAAGAGTCTGGGGTCGGGCTCTGTCCCAGGCCAGGAAGATCCAAATAGGGCTCCCTCCCTCCCCAATGGACAGGATGACACTTTTGTGGACTGCTGGTAACCCAGCTTAGCTTGAAGAACTCCATTGTTAAAATTGCCATCTTGCATGGCCTTAACCTTGCCACCTCTACCCCCCACCCCCACAGCCTACCAGACTCTGACTGATCCACAAAGACTCTTGCCAGATAAGCCCCTCCTGACAGACCTTGAACTCCCCTGTACGTGTTCCAGTTTTGACAGGGCCAAGCAGCTGCTCTCCCTCCTCATGCGTGCTTCACCGTGCGGTCTGTCCGCTCTCCCAGGGCGAGTAGAACGGGAGTATCACGGGATCGCTCACCTCCACCCCGCTACACACAGCCGTCTGACACTAGCCAGACTCCGACCACCACGAAACAGGACTGAGACTGGAGTAGGATTGGGGAGAGGTGGTTCCCCAACAGCAGGCCCCATGGGGCTTTCCTAGGGCTGAATCTTTGTGGGAGCAGGTCACCAGGTCTCCCTCCTGTAGGGACAGTGAATGGGTTTGAACCACCAACCTCTCAGTTAGTGGCCCAGCACTTGCCTGTATGAGTCACCTGGGGCCTCCATTGCAGGATGGATGGGGAACCCTCAATGTCAGGGGTGGAATCCAAAACATGACACACTGGATTTTCCCCTATGAAATCCTTAACTGCTCTGTTCTTGAACGTTCTACTAAAAAGTTTTAGGAAGCAAAGAGACTGCTCAGTTCTGAAGTCAGACCTGTAAACAAGGTTTGTCTCCTACCTTTCCCCACTTTAGACAACTTTTACTTCAGACTCATCAGACTTGAAGAACTACACCTGTAAACTACAGCAGACATGCACGGCCCCCACACGTGAAGGGGAGTGAAGTCTTCAGAGGAAACACTGCCATTAAACTTGAACTCCCTGTCCATGAACTTGTGGCCCTTTGAAGCTACCTCCTCTGGACTTACAATGCTGTCTGGGGACCACCAGGCCTGCCCCGCACCCCTCTCCTCACCCCACCACCTGATCTCACCCTCTCCTCTGCTCACACGACACTGCACAATGCCAAACCCAATCCTCACCCCACAACCCACTCTGACCGCCTCCTGCACTGTCCTCATGGACCCAGCACGCTCCTCCCAGCCAGCCTCCCACCGAAGAACCCACTCCCCTCCCCTGCCCTCCTGACAGGCCACGGCACTCTCATCACCCCACAAGTCTGCACTGCAAAACCATCTCCGCTCCTTACACACTCGATCCCACATCTCCCCTCCCCTCAGACCTCACACCAAGCTCCCACCCCCCAGCATCTTCTTCCAGTCTGTATGCCTGCCCCCACACGACTTTGTTTATGAGGGCAGCATGCTGCATTATCCCAACACTCCTGGAATAAATCCTATTGTTCACGTCATCATTCTTTCCTCTGTTGTTGAAGTGTTTGCTAGTGTCTCCCCACCCCACCTGCATTCCTAAGAGCTACTGGCCTTGCTTTCTTTTCCTGTGGAGAATCAGGCGTGTCCTTCCTTCCCTGCCTTTGGGAGTTTGAACCGTTTTACTGTTTTCTGAACGTGTGGTAGGAACCTCAGTGACGGAGGGATGTGCTGTTCTTTGGGGAGGATCCTTACGGACTTTGCTTTCATGAGTCCTTGACCCCGATCTCCATGGTAACCTGTTTATCTTCCTGCCAAGTTGTCCTGTTAATTCCCTAATGAACTGTTAAGTATGGCCTGTGTTCCGTGTCTCCCTTCAAGGTATTTTCAAACCCAGCCAAGTAGAGTGCTGTACCTGAGGAGAGCCGAGGTCAGAACTGGTACAAGGTTGGAGAGATGTCTGACCTCCAACTCAAGGGCGATGAGCCGTGGGCTGGTCTTGATTTATATCACCAGTGACATCAGACAGGTTCTCATGCTACTTAATGTTTTACAAACATTAATCAAGAAAATGTATCATTCTAAATATAAAAGCTAATTTCTTAACAAAAGCAGTTTAAAATGTGAGTTCTAACCAAAAGAGCCCTCGTTCCTAAAGTGTGTGTGTGTGTGTGTGCATACATACACAGACAAAACTCACTACCATGGAGTGACTGATGCATGGCGATCCATAGACAGGTTGGAACTGCCCTTTGGGGTTTCTGAGATTTAAATCTTTAGGAGTCCCTAACTTTTCTCCCAGGGTGGCCAGTGGGTTCGAACCACCGATTTTGGGCTTAATAGCTCAGTGTATAACCTACTCTGCCATAATTTCACCTAGCCCAAGTGCTAGAAAAACCAAATCTCACACACAGGACTTGATCGTTAGATTGTGTTACCTTGGCTGGGTCAAGATTCTCAGTGGTTTAGCAATCATGCTTGGTGAAGCAGAGAAACAAGGAAGCCCCGAGCAGAGATTGTGAGGACGTTACAGGAAGAGGCGGGGTTTCATTGACTCCAGGGCCCCCAATAACTATCACCCCTCATGAGGAGATCTTATCAAGGGTGTGGACTGCTTCCAATGTACATAGATGCTGTGGAAAAGCTTGCATGTACTTTGCTATGTCTAGACCCTGCATCTGCTGATGACCTTTAGGCTGGAGCCAAAGGCTTGCCATATTGCCCACAGATCCCAGGGGTTGCCAGCAGCCTGCCATCTTATCCGCTTGGTTCATGAGCCCCTTGGGAGAAGCCTCCAGCCTATCATCTGACTTGTGGGCTTGGAACTTGCCCACGCCTACCACTGTGGTGGCCCTTGTGCACACGTTGGGTAAGCATTGCATTCCTCAGAGCCAGCAGTTCAGGCCCACCGGTCACTCCACAGGAGAAAGATGTGGCAGTCTGTTCTCATACAAATTTACCGTCTCAGAAACCTACACAGGGTCACCATGAGCCAGGCTCAACTCTGGCCGTGGGTTTGGGCTTCTATGTGTGTCTCTAAGCTTCACTAAATTGGTTTCTCTAAGGGACCCACCAACAGGGACTTAATGCCGACTGGTGGCTTAAGGAGTCATGTTGGTGTAGTGGTAATGCACTGGCTGCATTTAACAGGGTCAGCAGTTTGAAACCACCAGCAGCCACTCCACAGGGAAAAGGAGAGGCTTTCTCCCCTATAAAAGCTCCCATCAAGAGTTACAATCTTAGGCCCACAGAATCCAGGGTAGGAGGTACGGGGTGATGACACTGACTCCTACCTGGTGGTAGTGAGCATGGACGTGAAGATGGTTGGATTTATTGTTGGTAATTGACAGCTCAGTACAACTGACTAAAAGGGAAACGCAGCCCAGATGACTCGGCCTCTGGGACGAGAAACAAGCAGCACGTAGGGCAAGGGTGCACTGACCCCGGACGAGCCTACCCCCAGGTCTCAGCACCCTGTATTTCTGCAGACATGGGCTGTCACCACAAGGAAAGCAACTAGCCTTCCCTGCGGAAGCTCACTGGGCTCCGCTGGCCAGAAGATGGCAGGGACGCAGGCCAGCCACTGCTTCTGGAGACCCACAGACAAAAAAGT